GCCCTAAACCCTAAACCCTAAACCCTGAACCCTAGCCCTAAACCCTAAACCCTAAAAAACCCTAAACCCTGAGCCCTACATAAACGCCGCTTGACCACAGAAGTCCTGCGTCGTCTGCGGGCGCCGATCTGGCTCAGCACCCAGCAGAATCGCTCTGCCGGCGATCCTAAGTTTCGTGGGTTTAGGGTTTAAGGTTTAGGGTTTAGGGTTTCGGGTTTAGGGTTTAGGGTTTAGGGTTTCGGGTTTAATTAGGGTTTAGGGTTTAGGGTTTAGGGTTTAGGGTTTAGGGTTTAGGGTTTAGGGTTTAGGGTTTAGGGTTTAGGGTTTAGGGTTTAGAGTTTAGGGTCATGGGTCATGGGTCATAGGGTTTACGGCTTAGGGGTTCAAGGTTTTAGGGTGTTAAGGTTTTTGGGTCTGAGGGTTTTTGGGTTTGAGGGTTTTTAGGCTTAGGGCTTTAGGGTTATAGGGTTGTAGGGTTTTAGAAAGGTTGGGGGTTGTATGGGTTGTAGGGTTTGAGGGGTTTACGGCTTTAATTAGGGTTTTAGGGTTTTAGGGTTTTAGGGTCTTAGGGGGTTGGGGTTGAGAGGGTTCTAGGGTTTTTGGGTTTTTGGGTTGCAGGGTTTTAGAGTTTTAGGGCTTTAATTAGGGTCTGAGGGTTTTAGGGTTGTAGGGTTATAAAGTGGGCAGTAAAACGGAAAGCTTCGTTTACGGCGTTAGAGCTGACAGGGTTTAGGGTGTAGGGCCCTTGCAAGGGCGAGGGGGGTGAGGGAGGAGCGGCACCCATTCCCCCATTTGAGGAGGAGGAAGGCCCGACTCCGGGATCCCTTCCACCTACATTTTACACACGGAGGCTCGATTTGTTTAGGGTTTGGGGCTGATGGAACCCAAATGGGTTTCGGGTGAAGGGTGAAGGGTTTAGGGTTTAGGGTTTGGGGTTTGGGGTTTGGGGTTCGGGGTTTGGGGTTTGGGGTTTGGGGTTTGGGGTTTCCTGAGCTAGTCACCTAGACCTCGCGAACGGACATTCGATATCTGCAGCCGAGAGTCTGAAACTGGCCATCAAAGCTCACGTTGAACCTTAGGCGCACCATGCGCGGGTTCACGAGAGTTTAGGGTTCTTGGGTCGCTGGGTAGTTGCTGTGTTAGAAGCCTCTGATACCTCCAGCTTAGCTTGCCGCAGGGCTCAGTGTTTAGTGTTGGCGATGCTACAGTGAATGGAACAACCCTAAACAGCTCTGTAAACCCCCTAACTCCATAGTTTATATCACAGCCTCAAGAACCAAGATCGTCCCCTTGAAACCCAAAACCAATCTACTGTAAGAGTTTCGGGTATAGGGCTAGGGTAAAGAGAGCGAGTCTAACCCTAAACCCTAAACCCTAAACCCTAAACCCTAAACCCTGAACCCTAAACCCTAAACCCTAGACCCTAGACCCTGGACCCTAGACCCTAGACCCTAGAGAGGTTGAACGCGTCCGAAACCCAAGACCCTCTGAAGCCATGGGTGCTTTGGGCCCTGACTTACTAAAAACTCACTAACCACCCTAAACTTGCTGAACTCACAATTTACTCCCAAACTCCCTGAATGCCCTAGCCTCCTTAAATTAAAACTTCCTAAACTCCCTAAACTCCCTAAACCGCCGAAACTCCCTGAACCGCCACCCCCCCCCCCCCCCCTCCAAAAAAGCAATCCGCCCTAACCGTTGGCCAGGAGAAAAGGGTTTCTGCGCGGCCTGTGGCTCGGACTATGCTTTTGATGCATATGGGTATTTCCCAAATAGGGGTACGCCTTTTACACCCAAACAGAACACAATCCCCTTAAACCCTTAAAGACCCCACAGAAGTGTACCCCATATGTCGGAAACCAGCATATGTGAAAATCGATCTTGCCACTCGTTTCACCCTTTGATGAAGACAGAGAGCTGGGACCAGGGGAGGGCCAACGCTTCTGTGACCTGGCCCACGTTGCTGTCTTGGGGTTTTTTGGGGTTTTAGGGTTTTGAGGGTTCAGGATTGAGGGTTTAGGGCTTGGGGTTGAGGGTTTAGGCTTGAGGGTATAGGGTTTAGGGTTTCAGGTGGAGGGTTTAGGGTTTAGGGTTGAGGGTTTCGGGTTTTGGGTTGAGGGCTTAGGGTTTAGGGTTGAGGGTTTCGGGTTAGGGGTTGAGGGTTTAGGGTTTAGGGTTGAGGGTTTAGGGTTGAGGGTTGAGGGTTTAGGGTTGAGGGTTGAGGGTTTAGGGTTCAGGGTTTAGGGTTCAGGGTTTTCGGATTAGGGTTTAGGGTTGAGGGTTCGGGTTCAGGATTTATAGGGCCCAGGGCTTGGGGTTCAGGATTTTTTTTGGGCTTAGGGTTTCGGGTTGGTGTAGGGCGTGGGGCCGTAGGGTTTCGGAACCGCCCCAACTATCCCTTGATGCTGCATGGGTGCTGAGCGCTTAGGGACTGTTCTAGGGAGCCCAATACCCTCATCCCTTAATTTCGTAGGGTGGTGACATGGTCCCATAGCATGGGCCCGTAAACAGGGGACCCCTTATCTACCCCTTATGGACGCTATAAAACCCAAGGGCCCATACTTCAGAACCCTGTAAGGAACGACCCTATAATACGCATGGGCCCATACTTCAGAACCCTTTAAGGAACGTAAGTGCCTCACCCTAAACCCTAAACCCTAAACCCTAAACCCTAAACCCTAAACCCTAAACCCTAAACCCTAAACCCTAAACCCTAAACCCTAAACCCTAAACCCTAAACCCAAGCCCTAAGCCCTAAGCCCTGAGCCCTGAGCCCTAAGCCCTAAGCCCTAAACCCTAAACCCTAAACCTCAGCCTGCTCGGCAGCCAGGGCTTCCCCATCCAGGCGCCAAGCGCGGCTGCAGGCATCGTAGACGAAGGTTCGGCCATCCCGCGTGCGTCGCACCTGGAGGACCGGGGGGGGGGGGGGGGGGGGGGGTTTAGGGTTTAGGGTTTAGGGTTTGGGGTTTAGGGTTTAGGGTTTAGGGTTTAGGGTTTAGGGCTGTAGATACTTGGTTTCGGGTTTGGGGTTTGGGGTTCAGAGCCTAGCTTGTATAAGGTACCCATGAACCTCCAAACCTCATCGTATCATGGGCCTACTTGCATTTCAGGAGGGGCCATCTTTGCATTCACTGCAGTCACACATCTAAGGTTCCGGGAGGTTAGGGAGTTTAGAGGTTTCAGGGGGCCCATGCACTTCTACCCTCTACCACTGAACCGTGAGCCCTAAACCCCCAACCCCTAAAAACCCTACTAAACCCTCCTAAACCCCAAGCCCTGAACCCAAACCCCAAACCCCAAACCCCAAACCTCAAGCCCCAAGCCCCAAGCCCCAAACCCCAAACCCCAAAACCCGAAACCCCAAACCCCAAACCCCAAACCCAAACCCTAAACCCTAAGCATTCGCTGCTTGAGAAGAGCCGCCCTCGGAGCTTCGTCTGGCGTGCAGGCGGCGCCCGCGTCCGCGGACATCAAAAGCAGGGCATGGAGAGCCAGGCACAGCATGCGTCAGCAAGGGATCAGGGTTTAGGGTTTAGGGTTTAGGGTTTAGGGTTTGGGGTTTAGGGTTTGGGGTTTAGGGTTTAGGGTTTAGGGTTGAGGGTTTAGGGTTTAGGGTTTGGGGTTTAGGGTTTGGGGTTTAGGGTTTAGGGTGAGTTCAACCACTAAGTTCCGGCTCCAAAGGTTGGTTGAAGGTGCACGCTCTCAAAGCCTCGCATGTGGGTCGGTCATGAGGCTGTATAGGCATGGCATGGGCTTCCTGCAGAAGGCTTGCATGTGCAGTGGGTTTAGGGTTTAGGGTTTAGGGTTTAGGGTTTAGGGGTTATCATGAATAACCGAGTGCTGAAGAACTTATGTTGCACCGGGTGTAGGTTTTAGGGTTGAGGGTTTAAGGTCCGGGGTTCGGGGTTCGGGAACCAGGGGAGAGTTCAGGGCTCCTGGTTTGCGAGTTGGTTGTGCTGCCCATGCATTCCCGTCTCCACTCTCCACATGCGCCAACAGATTTTGCCAACGTCTACGACATCCCCATGCCCTGAACCGACCCCCAGAGCCCTAAAGCACTACAACCCTAAATGCGACCCCTAAACCCGCGGTTTAGGGTTTAGGGTTTGGGGTTTTGGGGTTTTGGGGTTTAGGGGTTTAGGGGTGTAGGGGTTTTAGGGTTCTGGGGTTTGGGGTTAGGGGTTAGGGGTTAGGGTTTAGGGTTGAGTTTGAGTTTAGGAATGCTGCTTCATTGTGGGGTACTGACCAGGAACACGTGACTTGGCCAGCGGCATGAGCAGGAGGTCCTTCTGCCTGCACGGCCATCCAACATACCTACTTAATTAAACAAACCCTAAACTCTAAACCCGAACCCGAAATCCTAAACCGGATATAAACCGCAAACCCTAAACCCTAAAGCCTAAACCCTAAACCCTAAAGCCTAAACGCCTTGCATGATCGTGAGGGCACTGAGGGCACCCCAAAACGAGCTTGTTAAGGCCACCGCTCGCCCCCTTGAAGGAACCCTGCCTCGCATCCTTGCTAGGGTTTAGGGCTTAGACCCTAAAATCCTAAACCCTAAACCCTAAACCCCAAACCCTAAACCCTAAACGCTAAACCTCTGTGCGCGGTGCGTGTGGGTGTGTTCTCAGCACAGTTCTTGGTGCTGCGGGTTTCAGGGCTTCGGGCCTCTTCAGAGTTTGGCCGGGCTAAGGCCGGCAACACGACCCTCATAATGGGACCTTAGGGGTTGTTTAGGGCTACTAGAGGTATTTATAGGAGAATAAGATAAAGAGTCGGGCTCCCTCCTCATACCCTTTCATGGCTCTACTGGGTAGGGATATGAGCATTACTAAACGAAGGTAAGCCAGTGAAACTAGTAGTTCCCCTACTTGGTACTCCCCGACTTCATAACCCGGTACAGCTAGAGCTTCCTGACTTTATAACCCTAGTAACCCTAACCCCTAATGGTTTTTGCGAAGAGGAGGGTCCTTTTTAGCCTTCGCCGCCCAAAGAACCTGCTAGGGCAGGTTCACCACTTCCAGATCAGGCAGCTCCAGCTCCTTCCCCGCGGAAGGCTGAAATCCGAAGACCTGGTCTCCGCAACTCGGGACACTTCACAGGGCTCCAAAATTTATTTTCCTAGGGTTTATAGGGGGTTTACAGTATAGGGTTCGGGGAGAAAAGATGGAAGGAAGCCTCCCTCAAGCACGTGTGGGAACGTCCTAGAATCCAGGGTCCTTCCCAGCTCCCCCCGGCGCCCCCTCCAAGAGTGCCCCCCTCATGCAGTATCAACTCGGATGGCTTTGCAAGAGGGGTTTAGGGTTTAGGGTTTAGGGTTTAGGGTTTAGGGTTTAGGGTTTAATGGGTACTTTTCAGTAAGGGTGCAGGTAAGTACAGGCGCCCGGAAACATAAACCCTGAAGCCCTAAAGCCCTAAACCCTAACCCAACCAAGAGGTGCCAAGAGGTGCTCCAAAGAGGTGTTTGCTGTTGCATGCAACACCCTAAAGATCTCAATCCCAACGGGCCCAACGGGTTTGAGGCTTTAGGGTTTGGCATTTGAGGTGTAAAGAGGGCTCAGGGTCAGGGGTTAAGGTTTAGAGGTTAGGGTTTAGGGTTTAGGGTTTAGTGTTTAGGGTTTAGGGTTTAGGTTTAGGGGTCTATAGGGTCTACAACCCCTCGGAAGAATGACACAAGGGGCCCACCTTGCCGTAGAAAGCGAGCTCCGAATTCAGGGCATTCTCGATGTTTTCGCTTCGGCGGAAGCCATGCTGCTCACCCTCGTAGATCCTCGGATTGCGTGTAGGGGTTAGGTTTAGGGTTTAGGGTTTAGGGTTGAGGGTTTAGGGTTGAGGGTTAGGGTTTAGGGTTGAGCATCGCTCTCCCTCTCTCCCTCGCCCATGCAAATTATATATTATATCAGCAAAGTTTTAGTGTGTTTAAAGTGACGCTGCAAGCCGCAGATGAAACACTTTAATCGTGTTCAATGGAAGACAGCACCGGTCAAACAGAGCAGAAAGGCCCTACGTACATAAAGCCTATAAACCCTATAAAACCCTCTAAACCCTATAAACCCAATAAAACCCTATAAAACCCTATAACACCCTATAAATCCCTATAAACCCTATAAACCCTATAAACCCGATAAACTCTATAAACCCCATAAACCCGATGAACCCAATAAACCCGATAAACCCCATAAACCCTGCAAACCTTCAAAACCCTATAAACCCTGTAAACCCAAAACCTCCCGAGCGTCTTGAGGGCACAGGGGAGGCCCTTTGTCTTGACAGCGTCATACATCAGCTCGGCCTGGTTGGGAGGTACGATCTTGTCCTGGCATCAGGAACCCCGAGAATCCTCGAACACAAAGGCTGAGCGTATTGAGGGACCCTAAACCCTAAACCCTAAACCCTAAACCCTAAACCCTAAACCCTAAACCTTCTCAAAGATGGTTCTGGCTCTGCATACAGGACAATGAGGGCACGTGGTGCACAAAGGAGACATGCCTTGAAGAGGCCCTTAGGGATGAGGGTTTAGGGTTTAAGGTTAAACAAGAACAAGCCCTTAGGGTTTAGGGTTTAGGGTTTAGGGTTTAGGGTTTAATTAGGGTGTAGGCCGCCTTTGCCAACGAATTCAGCAGCCGGGGGGGGGGGGGGGGGGAGGGGGCAGGCATGAACATGACCGGATCTTTGATCCCATGCAGCCCTACATTGGCACGCGGGTTGCCTATGGAGACTTTGTAGTTCGTTATCGCGAAGTAGGGAAGGGTAACATCCCTCTATAGAACACCGAAAACCTTAAACCCGTTTAAGGGGCTACACAGGGTGTCGAATTCCATCGTTCCCACACTAAGAACCAGTAAGAAGAACAAAACGAAGTGCCATGAACGTGCTGATGCCATCTGAGCTGTTCTATCATGTTGAGGAACTGCCAAGTGAGTAGCAAGGGACCCTCAGGGGCGTCCAATATAGAGGCCTGAATAATTAGAACAGGTTTTGGGAGGGAGGTTACTATAGTATTGTCTATAAAGAGATCCATAAGGGAATGCTAGTAGTAATCCTTACCCTAGAACCCAAAAAAACCCTAAACCCTGAACCCTAAAACACAAGAGGGCCGAAGCTGGTCCTCGGCACCCTGGAGCAAAAGAATGGGGCAGGAGAGCTGATCCGTGTGGCGGATTGGTGCGCGATCCTCGTAGACGTCCTTGTCATGGGGTTCGGGTTTAGGGTTTAGGGTTTAGTGTTTAGTGTGTTTAGGGTTTATAAGGGTTTAGGGTTAACAACAACAAAGACCCAGCTTGTTTAGAGGTGCATAACTTACAAGTGGGAATAGATGCATCCCCAAGAAGATCATACCCAACCAGAACGCCAGTTGCCCTATGTAAGAGCCCTTTACTCCTAAGCCACTTAAGCCCTAAACCCTAAACCCTAAACCCTAATCTCCAAGGCCATCAGCGCATGGAAAATCCCACCCTCATCTCTCAAGCTGAAGATCCTGAAGTTTAGGAGCTGGGTTTAGGTCTTGGGTTTTTAGGGTTTAGGGTTTAGGGTTTTAAGGGTTTAAGGTTCTAAGGGTTTAGGGTTCCAATGTTTAGGGCGATTCTAAATAGTATCCAAAAGACCCTATCTACACTCACCGCGATGCCTGTGGACCGTGGAGCCATATACCGACAAACCCTAATTATAAACCCTACATCATATCTTGACTGCCCACGTCCAGACCCATGGATTCGTGAGATTTTTCGCCAGCAGGGCTTCTCTGAGCTCTGTGCCGTGCTTTCCCTGACGGAGCCCCAGCCCGCAACCCCACAACCCCACAACCCACAACCCCTCAATCCCTCAACCCTAAGCCCTAAGCTTCCAAAAACCAAATCACAACCCCTAAACCCCAAACCCTCAAGCCAAAACCCCCAACCAAGCCCAAACCTCTTTAACAAAAATCCCTGATTTAGGGTTTGGGTTCAGGGTTCAGGATTCAGGGTTGCTGAATTAGCGCGTCCTTCGCCTCAGGGTAGGGTCCCACGAGGCCATCCAGGTAGCGACTCTCAAACCTCAAGGATAAAATGCATGCTAGGGTTTCAGGATTTTTGGTGTTTAGGGCTTAGGGTTTCCGGATTTTAGGTGTTTAGGGTTCAGGGTTTAGGGTTAGGGATTAGGGTTTAAGGATTTCAGGGTTTAGGGTTTCAGGGTTTTAGGTGTTTAGGTTTAGGGTTTGGGATTAGGGTTCAGGGTTTTGGGGGTTTAGTGGTCAGGAGTTAGGGCTTCGGGTTTAGAGTTTGCTTTCGGCTTTCTTTAGGACTTTGGGGTAGGGCTTCGCTGCTCTTCGCACCGGACGAAGCCGCCGAGCCTCTTCTGCACCCTAACCTTCCCAGCATCTGCGCTACACTATAGCAAACCCCAAACCCTAAACCCTAAATCCCTAATCCCTAAACCCTAAACCCTAAACCCTAAACCTAAAGCCTAAACCCTAAATCCCCAAACCCTAAATCACTATAGACCCTATAAACCCCAGACCGAGACACTTGTGGGTGTCGGCCGCCAGTGCGGAGAGGTCCCCTATGCCGTACCTTGGTCTGCGTGCTTCTTGGTAGTCCAGTAACAATATTCTAATAAGGGGTAGCGGTTCAGGGGGTTAGGGTTTAGGGTTTAGGGTTAGGGGTTTAGGGTTTAGGGTTTAGGGTTTAGGGTTTAGGGTTTAGGGTTTAGGGTTTAGGGTTTAGGGTTTAGGGTTTAGGGTTTAGGGTTTAGGGTTTAGGGTTTAGGGTTTAGGGTTTAGGGTTTAGGGTAAGAAGCCTACCCTATTCGGGGTTGGCTACTTTGTAAAGGAACCTTGCACCACAACAAAGGGGTAAAGGGTACCACTGGGCTGCCAAGGCTTTTAGGGCGTTGGGACGGTTTTTGGGGTTTAGGGTTTTGTGGCTTTGGGGTCTTTGAGGTCTTTGGGGTTTTCAGGGTCTTTAGGGTTTAGGGCTTCAGGACCTACGGGGGTCCAGGATTCCAGTGCTTTTGGGGCTTCAGGCTTCCTGAATTCTTGGGGGGATGAGGCCTGGCAGCAGCAAAAACACGGCAAACATAACTTGAGGTCCCTAAACCCTTCACCCTAAAGCCTAAACCCTAAACCCTAAACCTCGTCCGACCAAGGTCGGGCGGATCTCTAGGAGGAATTCTGTCCGAACGTCCATGGTGCCCTGAAGCCCAAGTACTTGGTAGCCCAGTAACCATCTTACAATAAGGGCACCCTTCTTTGGGTTGGCTACTTTATAAGGGAACCTTGAACCCAAAGGGAAAGGGTACCACTGGGCTACCAAGAGTACAGACACCGAAGTAGAAAGGCGACTTGTTGAGTAGCAACAGCGGAAATGATTCTTCGGCGTGCCACTGAGCGCGATCCTACTTCTGAGGGGCGCAAAACAACAAAAACCCTATTGCTTGTGAGAGAGTATAAGGCCGAGCCAGAAAGTAAGCGGGAGCTGTGCAAGGGCAACGGCCGGGGTGAGAAGCGCCTCCCAAGCTTCCCAGCCCAAACCCCAAACCCTAAACCCTAACCCCAAACCCTAAGAATGACCTCTTCCTCACCGTTTAGGGCACCAGGAAGGTCCCACCATCTTCCCCCAATAGGGGGAGGAGGGGTACCCCGATGGTCCCCCCATTCAAAGGCCCAGTTTGGGTTGGGGTTTCGGCTTTAGGGTTTAGGGTTGACCCGACATCCTAAGCCCCCCCTAAAGACCAATAAAGGCGGGGGGGCATGGAGCATCCCGCCGTGAAGACGTCGCGGAAGGCCAGGGCGCACAAGGCCGTGTAGCCGCCCGCCGACCCGCCGTCGATGGCCAAGCGCTTGGCATCTGCCAAGCCCTGGCAGTAGGGGGGGAGAACCCTACACCCTAAACCCTAAACCCTTAACCCTAAACCCAAAACCCTAAACCCTGGTTTCGGGTTTGGGGGGTTAGGGTTTTGGGGTTTAGGATTCTAGGGATTTCTAGGGATTTCAGGATTTTTTTTCAGGGTTTGGTTGCAAAAAGGGGAATGGGGGTACCTGTATCTACATCCAGCACCAGAATGCACTTCAGCAACGCGCGCACAAGAAACACCATCCACGGCCTTCTGGACCAGGTACTCGGCCCCGGCGCACACGTCCTGCAAGGGCGTCTACAATGGGTTTAGGCTTTGGGGTTTAGCGTTCAGGGTTTCGGGCTTCGGGTGGCTAACCGGGGTGCAAGGTCAGGGTTGAGGAACCAACGCAAAGGCTCAAGACATGGATGATTAAAAGGGAGCGTCCTCGATGTCCACCACGCCCCAGCCGCCTTGCAGCTTCATGCGGTAGGCCCGGCCGTAGCCCGTGCTGCCCCTCAAGGAACCCCAAGGCGGGACAAAAGAGACAAGAACAAGGAGCACCCCCTTCCTGTTGTCTCTCCCCGTCTTGCCATCTCTCTTTTGCCCTCTCTGGCTTTCTCCGTTTGTGAGACAGCATGTGCTTAATCATGAAGCAGCTGTGGTTCATAGTCCCTCGCAACGGCTCATACAGGGAACCCTGGCTGCGAAACGCAACGCTTCGGCTTTACGGAACACAGCTTGGATGGTCGATTGGTTCTGCTTGGAAAGGAAAACCCCGTTGGGCTCGATGATGGGTAGCCTCTAAACCCTCAACGTCAACCCTATACCCCAAACCCTAAACCCTAAACCCTAAACGCTCAACCCTAAACCCTACACCCTACACCCTAAACCCTAAACCCTAAACCCCTGCCTGTAGTCGACATCCAAGACCGCAAAGCCACGGCTGGTCCAGTATTGCATCGCAGGGTTGAAAACTACAGAAGTCTGGGCCTCACTTGGCAAAAAAGGGTCCCCGCCCTCCCACCTAGGGCATAGGCTTTAGGGTTTCGGGTTTAGGGTTTAGGGTTTAGGGTTTGGGGTTTGGGGTTTAGGGCAGCACCCCTGGTAGGTTTACGACAACAGGGTCCCTTCTTGGATACGACATATTCGGAGCAATTTGCACAAGTGCCCACTTTCCCTAAGGGGGTGCCTGACTCCGTACTCGACCATCCTCATATCGGATTTACGCCAACAGGGTCCCAAGATCCCCCACACACAGGAGAATCCCCTGATAAGGCCTCAAGAAGGGTTTTATTGTTGGAACCCTAAACCTAAACCTAAACCCGAAACCAGTGCATTCTTTGGGAGCTCCTATCCTGGGAGGGAGGCACAGTGACTCACTTGTGAGAAGCCTTCGGGGAAGCTTTCTGACTTTCGAAGGGATCCCCATGAACGGGGCTTCTTTTCCCAAAGCGCTCTCAGTTGCCCTAAGCCCTAAGCCTATAACCCTATAACCCGAATATAATCCTATCGCCTTAAACCCTAAATCACAAACCCGAAACCCCAAACCCTAAACCAAAATAAGCATTGTTATTCTTGCAAAGCAAATCGAGGTGCTGAAACTTCAGCCACCAAGGTTCCGTGGGCCCACCGTGCGCCTTCACCAAGAGGGGGGGCGGGGGCCCTCCCTCCGGCGCTCGGAAGTCGCCGTTGCTTGGGGCGTAGTAGAAGCCTTCGACATTCAGGGTTCGGGGGTTTAGGGCTTAGGATTTAGGGTTTCGGGATTGGGGTTTGGGTTTAAGGTTGAGGGTTTAGGGTTTTGGGGTCTAGGGTTCAGGGTTTGGGGTTTAGGGTGTAGGGTTTAGGGTGAAGCCTGCGAAATTCAAGGAGTTTAGGCGCTCCCAGGTTTAGGCGCTCTTGTTCCACCAGCTGCTTCATTACTATGGCGATGAGGATGGTGATTCTCTAAACCCTAAACCCTAAACCCTGAACCCTAAACCCTAAACCCTAAAACCCTAAAACCCTAAACCCTAAACCCTGAACCGAGAAGCCGTAAGCTGTCTCTCCGTTGCCCGTAGGGAACTCGATGAGCTCCGGCTTGCTGATGTACTCTGGAGCCACTATGGCATCTTCCTTCCTTGTTTGGGGTTCAGGGTTTGGGGTTTGGGGTTTAGGGTTCAGGGTTCAGGGTTCAGGGTTTAGGGTTTAGGGCTTCGCCCGTTTCCGGTTGAGGGTCTTGGTGTTAGTGTCTTGGTGTTAGCTTCTCCGAGTTCGGGTCTCTCTTTTTGTGGTAGCCTCTGATCATACTTGTTTCGATACTGAGTCAGTACCGATTGAACCACCGAAGAAACAAGGGTTTGGGGTTTCTGGACGGTGCCATAGGGTATTCTTGGAGGAAATCGCTTCAAAGCATTGTAGGGTTTGTACCCTAAAACCCTAAACCCTAAACCCTGAATCGTGGGAGCGCTACAAGGAGGATATATGGTTTACAGGCTTTGTTGGGGTTTGCACGGTTTGCAGGCTGCGAGAAGTTTGCTGCCCTTTGCCCATGTCATGGGCTTCGAGGTAGAGTTGCGGTCTAGGGTCTAGGGGGTTCGGGAGGTTTGGAGTTTAGGGTTTAGGGTTTAGGGTTAGCGGAGGAATTAAGATCAACAATCCGCCGAGGCCTCGGGCCGGAGGTGTATAGGTTGTCAGAACAGGCACCCCCCTCCAAATCCTCCCCCCAAACCATTTTTCTCTCAGCAGGCCCTTCCCCTCCCTCCCCCCTCCCCCCCCCCCCTTACCCTTACCCCCCCCCCCCCCCCAACACCCCCCCCCCCCCCCCCCCCCAACACCCCCCCCCCCAACCCCCCCCTACCCCCCCCTAGCGGGTTCAACTGGTGTGAGCACTGCCGGGGATGCATTACACGAGCCGAAGAGTAAGCTCAACCCTTAAACCTCAAGCCCGGAAGCACTCCCCCCCCCCTTCCCCACTTCCCCCCCCACCCCCCAACCCCCCCCCCTACGATCAATCCAAGCCGAACCGTCTCTTGAACCCTAAACCCAAAAAAACCCTAAAGCCGAAAGCGTGAACCTTGAGCCCTAAGCCCTCAACCCTAAACTAACCCTCAACCCTAAACCCCAAACCATAAACCATAAACCCGGAACCCTAAACCCTAAACCCAACCCTTATTGCTGGGGGTCCAGCGACTTGGGCGCTGCGGAATCACCATGCTCACGCGGATGCGCTGGGCCGGGCCGAGGCGGGTCGCGTAGCGTTAAAATTAAGCAGTTCACAGTCTTCCTTCATTTGTGAAAAATAAGATGCGGGTTCCGAAATTCTACATTGGGGGGAGGGGGGGGGTCCTCCATTGTCGTCCACCCGCAATGTGTAAGAGTTGCTGCGAAAGAAGTCTACTTATACTAACAGGCATTAACAAGGATTATGATCGGAGGTCGGAGGTACTAGAATGCCGATTAAGGACTGTTCGTACAAGCAGGGGGAACAACCCAAAACACTTGCATAATTTAGGGTGTACGCCTCGGCTTCCCGCCGAGAGGCGTCTAGAACAAGCAGACCAGGATCTGCCCTCCTTCCCCCTAAACCCTAAACCCTAAACCCTTAACCTGTAAACCCTAAACCCAACCGCAACCCAGCACTTGTGGTCCCCCCTTGGAGCCCCAATCCGATGCCTCCGGGGTTTCCAGGTGGGCCCCTCGTTTAGGGTTGGTCTTTTAGGGAAGTACTGGCCCGTTTCACGGTCAAGCCTGCCTTGACAACCCCGCCTCCAACAATCCCCTTCTAAACCTCCCGAATCCCCCCCCCCCCCCCCCGCATTGGCCCGGCTGCCGAGGCGGCAGCGCTCGCAAGCGCTTACAACTAGAAGCGAATTCAAGAATTCTAACTCCTATATATGTAATTATTTTGATAGCTGCCGTACCCAATAAAGAGGCCCATAATTCAACCTCCATGACCCTAAACCCTAAAACCCTAAAACCCTAAACTCTAAACCCTATACCCTAAACCCTAAGCCCTAAACCCTAAACCCTAAAAGCAAACAAGGGCCTACTCCGGGTCCAAGACCAGGCGTCATGGAGCTCGCGATTGTCTTGACTTCGCTGGCTGCACTGCCTTCTGGCAGCTGCCAGGAGAACCTTAGGTTCAGGGCTTGTGTTTAGGGATTAGGGTTTGGGGTTTCGGGTTCAGGGTCTGGGGTTGAGGGTTTAGGGTCTCGGGTTTTGGGGTTTAGGGTTTAAGGCTGGCAGCAATTTGTAAGGCATACAGGGTTCGTAACCTTTGACGTGTATGAGGGTTAGAGGACTCATAGGGCTTGCGATGATGAATACGCTCCAGGCTTCAGGCTCCTTTGCTCAAGTTCTCGAATTAGATGATCCTTTCTAGTGTCTCTTGAAGTCCTCTGCAAGCTGCCTCAGAAAGATTCCTATCAGGAAAGTTACGGGCACCATGTCCCAAAGGGCCTGCGTAGTCGTTGAAGCTGCCACACCATTTTGCATCTAGGGTTGAGGGTGTTTTGGGTTTAGGGTTTAGGGTACGGTGTAGGGTTCAGGGATAGCTCTCATTCTGCAACACAGCAGGGCTGGCACCAGGCAGAACCTGTTGCTGCCAAAGACCCTCAAGCCTAAACCCAAAACCCTAAACCATCCCAAACCACAAACCCCACACCTAAGCCAAGCAACACAAACGGAGGCGTAGCCGGGTCCCCACCCAAGAAGTAGAGAGTCTTGCCATCGGGACTTGCACGGACCTGCAAGTCAGGCGGCGACTCTTCTGACTGTGACTTTATGAGGCCGGTGGCCTCTTTATCTGTTGCTCTTATACCTTCATATAGCCCCTAGATACCCCAATAAGAAACCCGAATATGTGTCCTTCAAAACAGAAAGCCTACTTAAAGAAACCACCAACCCACATAACTGTTACTACTTGTTTACTACTTTTCGTTCTCTCCCGTCTCAAAGTGACAAGCGTCTAGGGGGATTTGGGGTTTAGGGGTTCAGGGTTTAAGCTTTAGGGTTTAGGGCTGGATAGAAAGGGAGCCCGAACCCTAAACCCTAAACCCAAAAAGCGGGATTTCCCTGCTTTTGCGTCAGGGCGGCGCCGCCGAAATGGCGAGGGAGGCCTTCCTCCTGTCCATACCTCTGGAGCTTTTGGTTCGCGGGTTTAGGGTTTAATTAGGGTTTAGGGTTTTGGGTTTAGGGTGTAGGGCGACGTTGTGAAGTCTGCTCGCTCACAGGGGGGTTTACGATAATAGGGGTACCTTATTGGGGATGATTTGGGGTCCCTTACATCTCAGCCCTTTCACTTCTGTGAGAGCCATGAAGTCTTCCTACATCTGACACGATTTGCACAGCCAAGTAGGCATGGCTGCATTCTTGTAACAAATTGGCTACTTAAGTTGCCCACCTGGCTTCCTAAACCCTAAACCCTAAACCCTAAACCCTAAAGCCTAAACCCTAAACCCTAAATCCATGATGCAGGGCACTCTTTGGCGCTGCCCTCGGAAAGGCGCACCAATCGGCTGGCGCCGCGGTCGCTGTCCGAGAAGCCTGCTGCGGAATCGAGGAAGGGTTTAGGGTTTAGGGTTTAGGGTTTAGGGTTTAGGGTTCAGGGTTTAGGGTTTAGGGTTTAGGGTTTAGGGTTGAGGGTTCAGGGTTCAGGGGTTCAGGGGTTTAGGGGTTTAGGGGTTTAGGGTTTAGGGTTTAGGGTTTAGGGTGTAGGGCTCCATAGTTCCGAAGACACCATTCTCACAATGCCCACTGCAAATTTCGAAGCCGTCCTGATCGTTATCTGCTGTCTCAGGCACAAGCGACACAGCTGCCGTCGACAAGGAAGCAGTAGTTCCTCAGACCGTACTTGGGGGATTATGGGCACTTATCAGCTGGGTTGGAAGTACCCTAAATCGGGTTCTAACCATACCTACCCTTCCTATCACCCTGCAAGAAAGCTTGAGCTTTCAGTACCCGAAACCTAAACCCTAAACCCTAAACCCTAAACTCCAATGGCTTCGGGTAGGGGAAAGGGCCCTCAGTGTGGGCCGGTACTGCAAAATTTGGAAACCAATTATTCCTTGGGATGTTCACCCTTAATCTAACAGTCCTTATTGGGTATTATAGTGCCCCCTACAGGACTGTTAGGAAAAGGGGGAACATCCCAGAATATACCCCTTGGATACCCGAGGGCGCACACTTCAGAGAACAGAAAGGACGCTACACGGCGCTTGTCTGCGTAGGAAGTTTTAATTTGTAAGGAAGTTTTCTGAAGGTTTTTAACATAAGAGCCTCTCGGTACATATCATGCTCTGATTTGTAGTTCTGTTTCTTTTACCATATCCGGTTTCAATGTGAGATGTTTCAAGAACAGAAAAAGGAAAGGGACCAAGTAACGTCCCTTAAATGGACTGGCGGGCGAAACCAAAAATGGCAAACCTAAACCCTAAACCCTGAACCCTAAACCCTAAATCCCAAACCCTAAACCCTAATCCCTATTTGTCCAGTGGCCGAAGTCTCGTGCCTCTGAGGGGGGGGGTGGGATGCAGGGGTGCCATGTTGCCTTATTGCCTCACTCCTTTGCGCCTCCCCAAGCAGCAGAATGCAGCCTTAATTCGGGTTTAGGGTGTCGGGTTTAGGGTTTAGGGTTTAGGGTTTAGGGTTTAGGGTTTAGGGTTTAGGGTTTAGGGTTTAGGGTTTAGGGCTCAGGGTTTAGGGTTTAGGGTTACGGTTTAGGGTTTAGGGCTCAGGGTTTAGGGTGTTAGATTACACAGGAATCCATATTATGGTTCAAGGTTCATTCCGTAGGCTCTCTGATCAATCCTTCACGAACATGTTGGGTATCTCGAGCTCGGCGTAGTGCGATTTAGGGCGTAGGTTGTAGGGATTGAAGGGCGTAAAGGCCTAAACTCGAAGGCCCAGATTCCTAAACCCTAAACCCTAAACCCTAAACCCTAAACCCTAAACCCTAAACCCTAAACCCTAAACCCTAAACCCTAAACCCTAAACCCTAAACCTTATACGCCCAAAGTTGAGGCCTTCAAGGGTAAACCGTGTAAAGGGCTTAGGGGCTTAGGGTCTAGGGCTTTCGGTAGTGGCTATCTTGAAATAGAGTCTTGAGCTCCTTAGAACAGCCAAACCTTTGTGCTAAATGTGGGGGCTTCGGGTTTAGGGGGGGAAATACAAGGTATCCCCGAGAGCCTACCTAGTTACGGTGGCGACGGCAGTTGCTATCTCTCCTGGGTCTTACGTACGGTTTAGGGTTTAGAGTACTCCGAGCCTTTCGTTCCAAGGATCTGCTGGCCCAGCTGCCAGCCGGGTGCGGCCCCCGCAAACTCGGCATCCTCCCAGGGCAGAATAGAGTGTTGCCTTAATAATTAGTAACTAGAAGAAGGATTTGGTGTTTCGGGTTTAGGGTTTAGGGCTTAGGGCCCCGAATAATTAGAATAGGGTTTTGGAGTGTATGGTTTACAGTTAAGGGTTAGCGGCCTTACTGATTAGAATAGGGTTTGTACTATTCCGACCCCTATAGTGGGAAACGAGGGTGTGTGTTCGCAGGTCCCGCAACTTCTGTGAGGGTTTCCGACATTAGGGGCAGATTATTGGGATCCTTGTTCTAAGGGAATCCTACTATTTGGGGGTTTAGGGTTTAGGGTTTAGGGTTTAGGGTTTAGGGTTTAGGGTTAGGGTTTAGGGTTTAGGGTTTAGGGTTTAGGGTTTAGGGTTTAGGGTTTAGGGTTTAGGGTTTAGGGTTTAGGATTTAGGGTTTAGGGTTTAGGGTTTAGGGTGTCAACTCAACAGTCTCAGAAGTCCCAGGGCCATCGCCTCACACAGTAAGGAGCGGCTCGGGTCGACACTGGAAAGACCCTAAACCCTAAACCCTAAACCCTAAACCCTAAAACCTAAACCCTAAACCGTAACCCTAAACCCTAAACCCTAAACCCTAAACCCTAAACCCTAAACCCTAAACCCTAAACCCTAAACCCTAAACCCTAAACCCTAAACCCTAGAACACTGAACTCAACTCAACTCAGGCTCCTGAACCCGAACCTTGCAGCTTTGTGATACAGACCCTACCCCCTAAACCCTAAACCTTCCTTGGCCAGTAACGGCACAACGCCCTCAGGGCCGTAGGTGTAGAGGTTCCTCGTGGAGGTTGGATCGAGGCTTTAGGGTTTAGGGTTTAGGGATAGGGAAGATCGAGGCTGGGATCGGGGAAACGAGCACTTTGGTGCCAGAGTGGTGGGTGTTGCGGTTTCAGGGTGGGAAAGCGCATAACCCAAAACCCTGAAACCGAAACCCTAAACCCCTAAACCCTAAAGCCCTACAAACCCTACAGGGATAGATGGACGTAAGTCGGCATGGTGCAGAGGGCCCAGAACTTTGAAGGTGTGAAGCGGAGAAGAGCTCCACATGGGAGTTTCCGGTATTCGGTGTACCATATCGGGGTCCTGCTTATAAGTAAATCCTACTCTTTAGGGTCTATTTTCGAGCCCCCCCTTACCCCCATATTGTGCCACGAAGTCCCAGGCCCTTTGTACACACCCGTGGATCCGGGGGCGGATCTCTCTAGAGGCCAAAGAAGTCGCCCCCGTTCTCTGCTTCTTTGCTGGTGTCTCCATCTCGACTGTCTCCTCAGCTTTCGCAGGAGTTTGCCCCACCAGGTGTCGATTGCTTCACTGTCCTCGCCATCCACTTGCGCGGCTGCAGCGCCCGCGCCCTCACTCGCCGCACCCTCCTGTAGGGGCTCGGGCTCCACATATTCCAAGCTCCAAGAGGCCCTTTGACGACTGAGCTCAGAGTCAGCCCCAAAAACCCTAAACTTCTTATTTCAAAGCTAAGTAGAAATTGAAAAATGGCAGAGTTAAGCCTGTAACACTGTAAGTGGAACATGAAGAATGGCAGAGCTTAGGGTTTAGGGTTTAGGGTTTAGCGTTTATCCCCCCCCCCGCTTCTGCATTTTTTGTCTATAATGTGCAGAAAGGCGCAACTTCTGTGTCCGAGCCGTTCGTAAGGGTTTAGGGCTGAGGGCTGCTTAGGGTAACTTAGGGTTGTGTGGAGAGCCCAGCACCCCCTGATCGAAAATATTCTGGAGTTCATGGTGGGGAAACCTGTAGTGTATACTGAAGGTATACTGAAAAAAATAGATCTATGGGGGGCTCCCTGGGAGATTTCCCGATCGAACCCTAAAACCTGTCGCCAGAGCGCCACCAGTCCGAAGTATCTGCAATGAAGTGCAGCACGCCGCCCGGGGACCACGCGGGCTGCAACACCTTCTTGGAGGCTTCATGGGCACGTTGAAGCAGGGCAGCCCGAAACCCTAAACATCCCTAAACCCAAAACCCTAAACCCTTAACCCCAAACCCTAAACCCTAAGCCCCCAAACCCTAAACTGGGGTTCAGGGCTTAGGGCTTAAACCGCTTGAAGGACGATGGTTGGCGAAGTGAAGATGTCCGCATAGACATAGACCCATAAGGGGGTGTTCCCAACATTTGGGCTTAGAGTTCAGGGATTAGGGTCCAGGGTTTAGGGCTTCTATGAAGTAGGGTTTTTGTTTCTTGCGCTGCGGACTCGAGGTCGTCAGTCATATGAAGGTGAGACAGCTTAGATTTGTACTAAGCACGGCTAGCAAGCATACAACATCATGGTCGAGGACGTGAATTTACCGATCAATGGTTAAGCTTCGCAAGGACAGAGTCAATGCTTTCATCAAAGCGTTGAACCCGATCAGCGATAGTGCGTGCATCAAGCGGCACAGCTTTGAAGCAAAAATATTGAAGCATGTCAGGAGCTTTGCAGAAGAAAATTTGTCGCTTACAGGACTGACAACGGAAATCCATTGTCCAATCAAAGGAAAGGATGTGAGGAAGGCGTGCTTCGTCAATGTGAGCAAGCTCCATAACCCTGAGAAAATGTTTCTTGAAGCATTCATATCTTCTTTTGGCCGCAATGAACCTTTTCGTGATGCCACGCAATTTGCACCTGATGTCAACAGAATCCATGTTGCACCAAGTTGAGAGGGGCAATTGCGAAATGCAAGTAATTTCTTGAAGCTGCATAGGCAAAAGCTTGCAATCCGATACCTGTGTAAGCCAGGTGGGCGGCGAACTTGCCGTTTATTCGAAAGGTGGGCCATGCAGGAGGAAGATCTTTGTCTTGAAGTTGACAGCTTTTCCAGAAACTGCGTCAAGAAAGGCCTGCGGCGGAATGCGTATGATGTGACAGTTGACACCTTGCTCAATCACAGTTTGCGCTTGCAAGCAGAAGAGAAAGATTTCTGCAAGTACGTTGCAAATCCCAGGCAGGAACGAAAAAGAGGTTACTGGGAAATGTGAGATCGAAACGAAAATTGTCAATCCATTTGTAAGGCTGAGACTGAAAGTCAAGAAATTCTTACAGTTGTTCACTGTGCATCCAAGAAAACTTGAGCAGCTTCATGGAGAGCGTGCGAAATTTGTACAGAGCACATCCGATAAAATCTGCTTGTTGAACAGAATGAGCTTTGTGTCCTCCGATGCGCAGAAAGAGTAAAAATGCTTGCAACCAACACTGAATCGGTTCGGAATGAGGATTTTGCGTAGTAGTCCACTTTGCCCAGACAGTGAAAACAAGGTTAAATTCAGCATTGCATCTTGGGTCGATTGCTAGCGCCCTGCCTGCCCGGTAGCAAAACAAAACTGTCACCAAACCAACCGCCCACATCACCAAACCACCCCCCTGCGTCACCAAAACCATGTTTGAGTCACCAAACGGAATTTTTCCAGTCACCAAGTGCACCAAGGCTGACACCAAACGACACAGGAGCAGTCACCAAGCCCATGCTTGCCAGTCACCAAACCCATGCTCGCCCGTCACCATAAACACTGGTCGCAGCACCAAAACCAGAGCAAGTCCGGAAGAACCGCTCAGGCCCTGGCCAGACCCGAGGCAACCTAACCTGAAGCCCGCCTCAACCCTGTGGAAGGAAGGGCTCCGCCGCAAACCCTACCTACGCCAGGAGATGCACACGAGCGGACTAAGCCCACCCAAGTTCCGGACAAAGTGCCAGCCCGTGTTTTTGTTGTCCAGGTTCAGTCAAGGCTTTGCGGCGACCGCCTCTCATGTAAGCACTACGGGGGGCACCGCTTCGCGCGCGGACTTCATCCTAGTACAAAACCTACCGGCATACTTGACCGGGCTGGTTTACATTGCTCCAGGTACTCCCATTGCGCAGCCTACGCGAAGCGACCCTCACTCAGGCGGTCGTCGGCTGCTTCCTGTCGAACAGGGGTTAGTATAGGTCGGGTTCAGAAAGGCTAGGCAGGGTTAGGTGCAGTCGCGTTATGTCAGCTCAGGTCTGGTTGGATTAGGTAATGTAGGGCCGGGCAATGTTGGCTTAGGTGAAGTTACTTTGGATATCAGTGACATCAGGCCTGTTTCAGGAACAGGTCAGGTTGGGTTGAGCGGCTGTGCAACCTCACTTAGGGCTACTTGCTGTCTAGATTAGGTCGGGTTAGGTCGTGTCAGGTTGTAGGGGAAAGGAAGGACATGCAGCAGGGTTCGCAGATGGACTAGGTTAGGTGGACAGTCCTGGGGAGTTCACGTCGGGCTACTTGCTGTCGGGCGAGGCAGCACGCAGGTGAGGTCAGCGCAGGTTCAGGGCAGGATGGGGGGTGTGTCGTGTGTCATCTCGCTGTCACTGCGCTCCAAAGGCCACGGTGCGTCTGAGGCACAAAATAAGATCACGAGACGGAGCTTCTGAAGCAAAAGCCACCATACTGCTGAGGCACACTGCTGGAGGGTTAGGTCGGAACAAGTTGCACCTTTTTTTTCTTCCTGAAAGCCCTCGGACAACACGGACCCAACATTGTCAGAATGGGCCTCCGTTGACACTTGCTCGTCCCCCGCAGGGGCCATTCCCGATGCCGTGGCTTCCTGCGGTGATATGGGCAAGGCCGGGTCGGCTCGGCGAGCCCAAGGTCGGCACAAAAGGCCTCCGTAGACTGCGGGTTGTCGCTCGCAGCAGCCGATCCTGATGCTGTGGCCTCCTGCGCTGAGGCGGGTCAGGTAGGGTCAAGTCGGATTACTTCAGGTTATTTTTATTTGCTCCCGACTGCCCTGGGCCATATGGAATCGTCACACGCAGCGGACATTCCCGACGCCGTGGCTTCCTTCGTTGCCACAGCAACAGGTGCACAGGGTTGAAGGGTCTCCGTGTTCATTGAGGACACATGTCTTCGCAAGAAGTTGCACCTTGTTTTTTCCTCCCGACGGCCTTGGACAAGCCGGACCCTTGGGCTGGCTTATAAGGGGCCTCAGCTGACACGCGGTCGTCAGCTGCCATTCCAGATGCCTTGGCTTCCTGCGCCGAGGCGGGTTAGGAGAGTCGGATCAGGTTGCTTGACGTTACATGCGCTTGCAGATTCCGGAGGCCACGGCTTCCTGCGCTAATGGTGCCTAGGTGCAGGTCAGGTCTGATTCGTTAACGTCACATGTCTTGCACTACAGGTGTACCTTGTGTTTTTCTTCTCGAAAGACCTAGACGACCCGGCGACAAGGCAAGCTGAATGAGCCTCTGTTGACTTGTTGCTGTAGCTCGCAGCTGCCATTCCCGATGCTTCGGGTTCCTGCGCTGGGGCGGGTCAGGGAGGGTCGTGTCGGGTTACTTGAAGCTACATCTATATGCACATCTGTCCTCCGTAGTCTCGCGCTTCGCCGCAGATGCCTCAAGGCTTGCGGGTTGGACTCTTCGCTCCGCCGGCTTGGCATACTGCAAGTCCTACTGTATGATTTCTCAGAGCGGGGTCGGTCGGGGTTTGCCGATGATTACATATCACCTCAACTAGCGGCTGGAGCAGGATGTCTCAGACTGTCTGCGCCAGGTAAGGTTGGGTCTGCAGGTTGCGTGCGACATGGCCGTCGAGTTTTGGTCGCCAAGCCCACGCAGTCCGCTCAGGATTCTCAACAAGAGTTCCGTCTGCGGCTTCCGAGCCGTAAGCTAAGGTGACCCCCGCCTTCTTTTTTGTCAGGTGTGCCAAAGTCGCAGGACACTATAACCAGCGCGTGTGAGAAATTTAGTTGAACAGTTGCGCGGCTGCGAGCATGGCTGACACGCAAGCGCACAGGAGGGTCAGAGGGGCGGCAGGCTTTGCTAGCCAGCACGGGTTCTCTGGAGACTGCAGCTGAGGCTGGCAGCATGAATTCCAACGCACCACCCAACCATTGACAGAACCGCTGAACTCTGACTTATGCGCGAGTCCAAGCAGTCAAGCATTCGGCGCCGCCGCGAGGTCAATTGCAGTCTGGGTTGGGAGGTGACGGCGTCACCAACAGGATGTCCGTGCAAGTGCAGTGTTGTCGGGTTTACGACCATTCGCATCCATGCACGTTTGAAAAAGTGAGTTTCATGTCAAGCCGGCGTCTTGCGTCACAGTTTGTTTTTAGCTCAGGTTAGGCTTGAGTAGGGAAGGTGACCTTGCCATCGACCTGCGCCGCCACACGGTGTCAGCAGCCTCCAAGTCTGAAGTGCGCAAGTGGCCTGGGCTGAGCATCATTTTGCCCGACCAAGCACAGCGGTCCTGCATTCTGGCACATGGAAACGATGAAGCGAGGTGACGGAAACCTGACCTTAGCCAGAATCGGCGGACCTACCATGTGCAACAGAGAGTGTTGCACTCAACTCTGTGCGCTAGACCAGCTTGGCTTGTCATAGCAGGCCAGGTCGGGTTAGGTCGGGTTGCCGCCCACGAAGTCAGCCCAGGTAAGGCGGTCTTAATCGATGTTAGGTCAGGTTGCGGATTCTAAGGACTGCTCGGCTTAGGTTAGATACATTTGCGGCAATTAAAGGCCTGATGTAAGGTCAAGGTCAGAGTGACCCCTGGAATTAGCCGAAATAACACCAGTATGAGCATACGCAAGAGACGCTGCTTCTGTGCTGTTGTCCCTGTCATCTGCCCTGGCTCTGGCCTGCTTGACTTTCACCACAGTCGGCGGCCAAGTCTTGCTGAACTCCAAGCCGATCGGCCTAGCTAGGAAGCGAACCTGGCACGGCTGTCATGTCTGCCGTGGTTCGTGTTACTGCGAGGCCAACTTGGCCCTGATATCTCGCGTGTTGGGTGCGTCTCGGATGGATATGTGGCTGTTTGTTGCCAGCACGTGACACCTTCGACTTCCCTGCCTCTCTCTGCGCATCGTCAGGCGTGCGGAAGGTCAGCTGCAGTGCTGCTGGCGCCGACATGGCTCCAACGGGTGTGTTCACGTTCCACGTCTTACGCAGGTCAGGGTTTTCATTCCGGTTTCACTACACTTGATCACTCACACGTAGGTTGGAGCAGGTGAGGTTAAGTCTGGGTTTCATTATGCTTGACCGGAGGGCGGGCCTAGCCTGTACTGTTTGTTGACCTCAGTGCTTGTCTCGAACAGCTTGTGCGCGTGACCTTGGTTCCGGTCACGTCTCTTTTGGTGATCAACATGTAGGTTCTTGGTGTAAGGCGCGTCTGTTTTTGGCTTGCGAAAAGGTGTTTTGGTGACTGGGTCGTCGTGGTTGGTGAGCACGAACAGGTTGGTGACCGAAACGGTCCGGTTCCTGCCCCCCCTCCCCCCCCCCCAAAGGCAGAAGATTTCATTAAGGCTATGGGAGGAAGTAGTGTGTTGCTGCATGTCGCAAGTTTCAGATGTTCGCAGATTTTCGCAATTTCGGATGTTGAATCAGCACAAAACACAGGGGTTTCTACGAGGTCTTCAGCGGCGCCATGTGCTGTCCCCGGGTTGCCCAGCTTCGTAGCTCTTCGGGCTTATCTATACTCCCCTTAGAACCTTAATAACAATTATATGTTTCATATCCTCTTGGGTTTTGTATAAACAAAAATAGAAAAACAATTCCCAAGAGGGATATAGTTATGTTCACACAACGAGAGCATGGTTGGGTTTAAAGGGGCTTCGAATGCCACTGGGCCATTGGCCATTTGCTTCTAGCTCTTGCGTAGCTTCAACAAACGGGGGCCATCACATTTCCGGATGTTAGCCTCAAGATTAAGGCCTAAACCCAGATCACCCCATAACCGCTGCCGGGGGAGATGGGGGGCGGAGGGGGAGCGGGGGGGGGGGGGGGGGGGGGGGGGGGGGGGGGGGGGGGGGGGGGGGGGGGGGGGGGAGCAGCCCATTTGCTCTTGATGAGACGAGGTCTTTAA